TCCTGACCATCCAGAGGTCGGGGGTGGGGGGGAAAGGCCAAAGATCAAAAGATGAAATAGCCAACTAATACCCATTGCTACTCTTTGGGGCTGAAGAAAGTAGAAAAATTCACTGGAGATAATTCTGGGATAAGATGTGTGATCGGAAGGAGGGTTGATGGAGGTGTTTACCTGCTTCTTTTCTCCAGAGCCTCACGCCAGTAGGCTGGACCTGTTCTGCTGCTGCGATCCACAGTGCACTCAACTTTCCCCAGCTCCTTGCTGCTCTCCCAGCAAGCCCCAAGTTTCTGCTGGCTCCTGAAGCACTCGCTGTAGGCCAGCTTCCCCAGCTGATGCTCTGGTTCCCCTGAAGCATGTGAGGGGTGCAAGTGGCCCAGGTCTGCGAGGAATGGGCACTTCTGGGGAACTGTCCTGTCTCCTCAGAGAATGTATAGTGTCTCTTCACTTCCTTATCCAGGCTGGGGGTTGGTATCTGAGGGCTTCTTGTCCAAAGCTTGCTCATGCCTGTCTGTACTTGCTTCTCGACAGGTCCTTTGCCTTTTGAGGGTATTGCTGTCACGATGGATTCCCGCCGGATGAATGGAACCCAGAGGGTTGTGTTTGACAGGGTGCTGACGGAGTCTGAGTGTAAGGACCTTCTCCGGCTGACAAAGGTGAGGCCTGGGTCTTGTAGGAGCTCCTGTGTGTGTACTTTCCTCCTCAGCAGGCAGGGTTGTAGCGTTTCCATGGAGGAAAGATGACAGCCTAATGTGTGTCATCTGTATCCTTCTATTCCAGGCAGCAGGAGAAGCAGGAGATGGCTACCGGGCAAGACGGTCGCCTCACACCCCACATGAGAGATTTGAAGGATTAACCATTTTGAAGGCCATGCAGGTAAGTGGCTCTGTGAGTAGGCCACCTTCTTGATTGTCCAGAAAGAGTGTTTGCTACCCGAGCGTTTTTCTCTGTGAAGTGCACTCTGGATGGGGTCATGAGTGTGTTATCTTCCTCACAAGCACATGTGCGGTCTCCCCTGACCCTCTCCCTCCATGATCATGTTTAGGCGCGTTGCACATGGAGGGCTTGACAAGTGCTTTCTCTCCTGAGAAAGGGTGAAACAGGGTTTTGGGATTGCTACTTGTCCCTGTGCGGTAGTCTTACAGAGATGCTTAGCTTAGAATTGGAGTATAAATTAAGGTGGAAAAAGCTTCTGGAGTTCTCTAGTCTGACCCCCTGCTCACAGCATGGCTAATTCCAAACCTAGATGAGATCCCTCAAGGCTTTGCGCAGGCAAGTCCTGAAAGTCTCTGAGGGTGGAGATTCCCCAGCCTTTCTGGTCACCTGTTTCAGTGCTGTATCACTCTCAGGAGGATGAAATTTTTCTTTATATCTAGCCCAAATTTCCCTTGCTGCAGCTTTTGCCTGTTGCCTCTTGTCTTTTCAGTGTGTTCCTCTGAGAAGAGACTGTCTCCATCTTCTCCGTAACCCTCTTTTAGGTGACAGGAGACTGTAATTACATCCTGCTTTGGCCTTCTCTAGGCTGAAGAAACCCAGCTCTTTCAGCCTCTTTTTCTAAGTCATGTGCTCCAACACCCCTGCCATCTTAAGACCCTTCACTGAAGACTCACTCCAGTTTGCTAGTATCTCTTGGGTACTGGGGGACCCAAAATGATGCTGCATTCCAGATGTGGCTTCATGTGCTGGGTAGAAGGAAAGAATTGCTGTGCTGTACAGGTGTACTCCTGACTTATATTTACATGAGAAAACATGTTATTTTCTTACATGTGTGACCACAGGACCTTACACAGGTCTCCTCTTCTGTACTGTGTACATGTATCATTTCTTAGAGTGTCTTTGTATGTGAGTATTCTAACAGGCTTGTTTTTCACTTGTAGCTGGCCCAGAATGGGGACGTGGACTGGAGAGACGCCAAATTGCTTCTGCAGGCCAGTGAGAAATCGCGGAAAATCATAGAGTCCTATTTTACTCCTGGAAAGAAACTCCATTTCTCGTTCACGCACCTTGTGTGCCGCACGGCTGTGGATGGTAAAGAATCTTCCACCCTGTTAGTCCCTGTCTCCTGGAGAGTGTCCTCAGTCCCAGCCATATGCTCTCAGGAGAGTCTCTTCCCTTTACTCTCACTGCGCCCCTTTCTCTCTGCCTTAATCTCTCTTGAAACTGAAAATGCCCATATTCTTTTTTGTAACTACCCTTTTCAGAGAAACAGGAAGGTCGCATGGATCTTAGTCATCCTGTCCATGCTGATAATTGTCTCTTGGATCCTGAGGGGCAAGAGTGCTGGAAAGAACCACCTGCCTACGTGTACAGGGACTACAGGTAAGAGAAGAAGGGGACCTGCATTAGATCATGTGGAGATCAGAACGCCTCCTCCACCCCATCAGAGGATGAGCTCGGCATATAGAAACCAGGTGATGGGTTGTTGGCCCAAAGCCAGCTGGGACTGTAGCATCAGGCAGGAGGCTGCATCAGTGGCTTCAGAACAAGGTTTGAAACACCTTCCCTAGGCTGGGAAGAAGATGTGCCCTTTCTCCCTCCTCCCTCCTCACAGCCAGCATTAACAGATAGCAGAACAAGGCTGGGAGGCTGCACAGGCCAGAACCATTATCAAATTGTTGTCTTGTGGGTCTACCACAGTACTACAGTCCACTGCCGGCCCTTACAACAGCCTGTTTCTTCTAATCAGGTTCTGTCTTTCACAGTCTTCCATGCATTACAGGACAGGGAGAACCAAGCTCCTTGGATTTCCTTTGTTTGAGCAGTTAGTGTACTTTGGTGACTGTTCTCAACATTCATCTCTCTCAAAATTCACTGCCAATACTTTGTGTTGGGTTTTTCCATTCCACGTGAGAGATTTTTTTTTCAGCCTGTGGCAGGTTTTGTTACTCTTCTGTGAAAGAACCTGAAATATATTTTAAAGATGGTGACAATTGTTGCACATAGCAGCCAAATGAGGCCAGTTCACTACAGTTGATTCCTCCTATTTACCATCACATCCTTGGGCGCCCAGAAATCTTACTTGCCTTTTCTTTGAGCGGTAGCTGTACCCAGAGTAGAAATCTTCTCTGAGCAGCCTATGGTAAGGATGTGGGACTTAGAGGGAATTCCAGTGTCATTGAGTTCATTTCCCTTCTGATATAGATGTTGACTTGGTGTAGGCAGATTGTCAAGTTACCAGGCTCTGTCATGTAACTAGTTAGATCTGTCTCTCCTATGGGAAAGCTGTCCTGTCACCTCACTGCTCCCTGGGTAGTGGGGTTCTCTGACTGCTACTTGAATGTATGTTAAAATATCTTCCTGGGATCTATGCCACTGAGTTATTTCCAGGAGTATTCCTGTCCTCTTGCAGGCTCAGTTGTGATTGACCAACCAATTCACAAGGGCTGAGGTCTTCCAGTGTCCTTTTGAAAGAGGTCCCTGTGCTCCAAACTTCCTGGATCTCTTCTGTGTATTTGTCCTATGGTTATTAATGAAACTGTTGAACAGGATTGGGCCCAGGGCTCCAAGAGTCCCAGTGATCCTCCTCCAGGCAAACAGCACTCCTTTCCGTGCCAGTGGTGCACTAGTCACTGTGTGCTGTTCGTGTGCTCTTCTTCACCTTCTCTGTGTTGATTAGTAATTTCTCTAGTGGCGTCTTTCTGAATACTTTTACCAGAATCCAAACTGAGATCAAGCATGTTGTCTTTCCCTGGGAAATCAACTGTTTTGTCAAAGATTTTGTGGCTAGCCCAATCTGCTTTTAGTACCCCCATGTTACATTTTAAGACTGTTTTCCATTTACCTCTTCTCCTTCAATTATCCTTCTCCGCAGAAATGGAGTCTAAAGCCCTGCAGACTACTGAGGTCAGGCTAACAGGCCTGTTTATGCTTCAACCATTATCCCTACCCTCCTGCCCCTTCATGCGTGAGAGTTATCCTTGCTTTTCTCCAGTCATGTTACCACCCTGACTTCACAATCTTATTAAAACTCTATGGCAGAAGAGCTATAACTTTCTGGGTTTCAGCGTTGGTAATCCTCTCACTGTCCTTATGTCCTTAATGTTTTTGCTTCAGCAGCCACAGTGTTGGTTTCTATTTCTTTCTCCCAGTCCCGTTAATGAGTGTCTCTTATTCCTCTGACGTTTTCTATCAGCTTAATTGAATACCAAGAGGAACTCAAGTAGCTTGTGGTCCATTCTTTCACCTAGTTGACTGTGATCTCACCTGCACTGCACAGTGGCCTCACTACTTATCTTTTTGTCTAACATTAGTGAAGAAATTTCTTGGTTTAATTTTCTTTTGTGCATGTACTAAGCCTCTTTTTGACCATTCTTATGTTACCCTGAAATTCCTTGACTCTTAGGACATGTTTTCTTTGCTGATCAGTCTCCTCTTCCAGGCTTTGGATTATTTCCAATCTTAAAACATAACATCATGCCAGGTCAGAACCAAGGTCCGTCTAGCCCAGGGCATTGTCACAGTGGTGCCACAGGTGCATGCTGCAGAGCATTTAAAAAAAAAAAAAAAAAAACAAACCAGGACAAGCACGTAGAGCTAACTCCCTGGCGTACTCTCCTAGCCTTTTGTGGCTTGCAGCTCGGGGACTCCCCTGAGCTAGGCACTGCTGTATTTAACACCCCCAAATGGATTCTCTTGTTAACTGGTGTAGTCACTTTTTGAACCTGTGGTATCATTCAGCTGCCACAGCCTCCTGTGACAAGGAGTGTGGGAAGGCACCTGGGAGGAATGAGCTTCACCATCCATGTGTCCTCTTTTTGTCCACAGTGGCATTCTCTACCTCAATGATGACTTCCAAGGTGGGGGGCTTTTCTTCACTGAAATGGACACTGTGACTGTCACAGTAAGTCTGGGACTGGCCAAAAGAAGGAGGGAGGACTGAGGGTGAGACTTAGTCTGGGTGGGAGGAAACTAGTTGGTTATTGGGTCCCACCACTCCAAAACCAATCCAGTGCTGGTGCAGTGGCAGATTCAAATAGGGACAGCTAAAGGCAAATTGAGGCAAACCTCAGACAGAGGAGAGGTTAACTCCTTTCTAGCTGAGATGTTCCAGGCTCTTGCAGTCTGCGGGTGTCTGTGACATCGGCTGTCCCTTTGATTCTCTCTGTCCCTCCCCAAGGTCTGTCTTGCTCACAGACTGGCAGTGGATGCCTAGTCGATCTCGGCTGTTCCACGGTCCCCTCTGTACAATGACCGTATACCCCAGAGCAGGGGGCTGCTGGCTTCATTGTCTCTTCTCTCTCTCCTGGCAGGCCGAGGTGCATCCTAAGTGTGGGAGGCTGGTAGCCTTCAGCTCCGGCAAGGAGAACCCCCACGGTGTGTGGGCGGTGAGCCGTGGGAGGCGCTGCGCCATCGCTCTCTGGTACACGCACTCCCAGGAGCATGCTGAGCAGGTAAAGGACCTGGAGAAATGGATACGAGGACCTCCGAGCTAGATCAAATCCCTCTGAGGAATGGCTTGTGGGCTTTCCCATGGGGCAGGGCCTAGCGCAGCAGCTGGGAGTTGCCCTCTGACAGGGTACCTGGTGGAGGAGCCAGCCTGTAATGGCTCCCGCAAGAGAGAACGGGCTCGGGGGGGTTGGATGGATGTGGCAAAGACAAGATGTGTCTTGCCAGCCCCTGCAAGCAGGACAAAAACCCTAGCAGGGAGGGGTTCACATCAGCTCTGTCTCCACGGCTGCAGGAGCGGGTGAAGGCAGAGAAGCTGATGGAGCAGAGGGCTGTGGAGCAGAACCGGCCTGATGGAGAAGATCACGGCAGCAGATCCTCCTCAGAGTTTCCCGTTCCCAGCGGTGGAGCAAGGCCCACGAGCCGAAGACACAAACCTGGCTCAGACAGGACGCAGCACCCCAAGGAGCTGCGGGCCAGAGATGAGTTCTGAGTATGTGGGGCCCTGGGGGCAGGACTGGCACACACCATGGCCTGGCAGGTCTTGGTAGCACTGGGACCACAGAGGCCTGGAGTAGTGTATTAGCATGCTAGAGCCGTAGTGATGGGGAGGGATGCAGCTTTCTTCTCTGTGACATCCCAGCAGCTGAAAAATGGGAGCAGGGACAGAGTATTAAAGTCAGTGACACCAGGAACTTTCTTCACTGCCTCACCAACGTGTTTGTGTCACTCAGAAGTAAGAAGGCAGGGTCTCCTCACACCACTCCTCTCAGTGCCAGCTTCCTGGTCATCCAGAGCCAAATCTGAGACGGGGAGGAGGAGCCTGGGGTCTTTCAGCAAGGGCTGTCTCATATTCAGGAACTCGAAACAGAAGCCTCTGAATTTCCTAGGCACCTGCAAACTCCAGAAACTCACAACTGGTCTGAGAGAGGGAAGGTGAGGGACTGTGAATATATGGAATAAAAGCAAAATGCTGGACACACATGGTGGGAGCTTCAGTCTGTACACCAGGAGGAGACATGCCTGCTCATTGCTCATGGAAATTTAACAAATGGGGGAAGGAGATTGAGCCCTCAGTGAAAGAAAACAAAGTATTTGCCCAGATGCCAGCTACTTCTGATAAGGGAGAGCAAGAGAGAAAGTCAGCTCTGCCATGACTAACCCCTAGAAAGGGTGGGGAGTGCCTTTAAGAAAAAGCAGTGTGTGCTCACATTCCCCTGCAGCAAGGCCTCTCTTCCATGCACCAAATTGCCCTGAAAGCAGAAGAGATATTTTGTCTATCATTTTCCACCCTGGTACAAAGACAATCTGCTGTTACTGCCCAGGGGATTAATGTCCTGAGATGGGATTATATTGTAGCCAAACAGGAATTGAATGGGGTGGATATGGAGTATCAAAAAGAGCAGTGACCCTTTTCCTGGGAAGCATTAGAGCCAGAGATCAATCTGTGGTCATGACATACACAGGCCTTGTTGAGAGTTGTGCATGGAGACCCCAGCTACAGTTCAGATGGAAGAAATCCGTAGGGCGAGGGCCAGTGGTGTAAGAGGTGGGTGGGTGATCTCTTCATTGCTGCTGGCACAGGGCCCCTGCTCCATGGAAAGGGAACTCTTTCCTCAGTTAGAATCTTGGCACTTCCTTAACATGCAAGCTCGGGAAACCTGCATCAGCAATGCTTTTTGCCCCCCGTCCTCCCCAGGGTCACAGTAAAAAGGCAACTTGATGTGTGCGTTTCAAATTCCCTCTCCCTGGCAGGAGGTCCATCACATCCTAGCCATTGTCTGTCCCTGTGATTTACGTGGGGGCACTGGATGGTTCCTGCTTGACGAGGACCTGTTCTTGGAGGGTGAGGGGCCAGTGTCCACATCTCTGGCTTGCTTTGCCCAAAGGTGGCTTGGGTGATTAGACTGATGGCCTCCTGACGTCAGATGAGATCCGTTAAAAGGTATTTATCTCGGGCTTGGGCCAAAGCCGCAGGAGAGATTAAAAGAGATTGAGGCCAAGATAATCCCCTCGCAGCATCCCACTAAAGTGGCTGCCAAAAGGCACACCACCAAATCTTTTGCCACCCCTGGCCCCTGTGCCCAGTTCTCTTTTCCCCATGTAGAGCCCAGTTTGCTGCCCAGAGAGGGTGTGACCCCAGCCCTGCCGTGGGTTTTCCCTTGGCAGGGCCACTGTGGGTGGCACCATCCCTCTTCCCACCCTGCCCAGGACACAAGTGGCACACTGTCCCCGGGAAAACGGGAATTCCTGTGGACTGTGAGGTGCAGCAAGCCCTGCCCCAGTGGCTGATAATCCTAGCCTGTTCCGGCTAATCTTCACTTTATTAGTTTGTTGCTGATATAAACAGAGGGAGTCAAATCCGCCTGTGATGGTTTCTTTCCCTTCAGGAGCAGCATGCTACTCTCTTTTCACCCCTCCCCATCCACCTGCTTTGCATTACGTCCCAATCCGATTTCCCCAAGTCTCTGGTGTCTGATTTAATTTGCCTGACGCTGCTCCTGGAATCAGCCCTCCCCCAACCCCTCCTGTCCACAGCCTTCCAGCTCCCCATGGGGAGATCAGTCCTGGGAGAGGCTGAGAAGCAAGGGACTCGCTGGGTGGACGGGCAGGACTGACTGGAGACTGCACAGGGACAAGGGGCTTCTGGCTGGCGGGGAGCCATTCTCAGCAGGGGAGGCAGGCTGTGAGGGTCCCATCCAGGGGGGACTGCAACACACCTTGCTCTACAGATCCCGGTAAGGATGCTGCCTTGTTGTGATGCCTGAGGTCACCTTGGTGAGCCTGGAACTTGGGACCCTGGGTGTCTTGGTGTGACACTGTGGGGAATTTTTGTACATGGGCTGATTCCATCTGAGGATGTGGGAGGGAGGATCATGGTGGGGAAGGAGTTGGGGTTAGCGCTGAGATGTCTTTATGATCATGAGGGGGTTTACCCTGGGAGGTGGTTGCTTGTTCTCCCCTTGGCAGGTAAATCTCACCAGTTTCCAGACTGGAACAGGAGAGTAACATTCCCCTGAGGGACCTGGCACTCACTTATTGTGCACAGACCTGCACTCCCGGTGTGCCCCTGTGCACACCTCTTTGCAGCTGGTTGCTTTTCTGGATGGAGAAGGAGCCCTCAGAAAGCGAGGAGCAGAGCAGGGTAATTCTACCCTGGCCTTTGATCTCCATGACAGGAGAGGGGGATCATCTCTGTATCCGGCTCTGCAAGGAGCCCAGGGTCACCAGGGCGAGCATGCAAGGCCAGCCAGGGATTACAAAGAAAGCCAGGGATGCTGCCTATTAATACTCAGGCGTTCCTCCTGCACCTTTTCCTTTTCTATTTACAGCCCTCTCCCAGCATCCCACAGAGGGACCACTCCCTCCCCAGTGTGGGGAAAGCTACATGGAGGATAGGAAATAAGGGAGTTCACCTCCCCTTTCTTCCTACTCATCACTTGCACCCTGATCCCCACAAGGGAGTGATGCAGGTGGCTTGGTAGGACAGCCCCTGGGGTGCAGGCTGGGCCCCCACCATGGCATGGCGCAAGGGACCTATGTCCACTGCCCTGAAAAGTCATGGCGTGGCAGCAAAAGGCAGAAGGCGGATGATTCCAGACCCTGCCACAGTAGAGGCATTTGGTCTGGTACAAGCAGACACCCAAGGGCTCAGGATGGGTCTGGTTGCCCACAGACAGGAGTGCTACAGCAGGTGCCTCCAGCAAGTTTGTCAGAAAAGGCAGGAGGGGAAAGAACTGTCATGTTAAAGAGCAGAAGAAATGAAACATGGTTTCAAAAGCCAAGAACTGTGAACTGGATGAGCACAGCCAAGGCAGAGCTTAGAAGAGGGCTGGTGTGAACCAACTAAGCCCAGGCTCTGTTTGGCTGTGCCGTTCTTCTCAGTGATGCTTGCAGGAGGCACAACTCTGGACCAGTGCTGGTGCCAAGGCCCTCCTGTCGGTAGCTCTTTGCAATGCTGGCGTCGTGGTAGTGAATTACTTTTTCAAAGGGTACCTAAGGACTTGGTTTCCTCTACTGCTCAGCATCCACCTGAAAGAGCCATACTTCCAGAAAGCACTGAGTGTGCACCACATAGAAGCCTTTTCCATTAAAACCAGGCTGGGCAGCTACCATGAGCAACCATGAGCTGATCCATGGATCCATAAGAAATGTGCATCCCTAAGGTCCCACTGGTCACAGAAGAAATATACCTCGACCAGACTCCAAACTCCATTCCCCTTTTCCCTGTTGTTCCCCCATTTCCTGTCCTAAATTTACATGACCATGATGAGCTGCTCTTTTGCACACCTGCCGTGTGCCTCCTGGGAGGCAGCTGCACTCTGCCGGGGACCAGGTAACTCACTCTCCACAAATTCCACTGGGATGTGACAGGTGGGGGCAACAGGTGAAGCTGGAGCTATTATTATCACTCATCTGTGGCTCCTTGTCCTTCTGAGGCTAAGAACAATTCCCAACTTCATTTAGAGTGTTCTCTGAAAGGGATTTCAAAGTTTGGACAGAGTCCTGAACCTGAGCTGCACCTTCTGTATATTTAGCTCTTTTTATCTGTCCTTAGCATTGTGCTCCTGCCCTTTGATTTGCCTGCCAGGTCCAAAAGCCCCTCATCTGGTTGTGCAACTTCATGGGGCAGGTGTCTGTGAACTGGGTTTCCTGCGCTAGTGCCAGTGTTGAGAAAGAAATACCCAAGGAAGGGAAGGGGGTGCAAGGAAGACTGGGGACCAGATGGGTGGCGGGGAGGACATGTGCAGCCAGCTTCACCTGGGGCAGAAACTGGAAGGAAGAGAGAACAAGGCTCCCACCTCCATGCAGGTCTAGGTGGGCAAAAGCAGAAGTCCACAAAGACAGATTAGGGCAGGTGGCTGGATGATGATCTCAGATGGCCAATGGTCTGTGAAATGACAGCCTGGAGAGCAGAAAGCCACTGCTGTTCCAGCTGGGAGAAGCTCCAGGAAGGGTTTGCTGTGAGGAGGCCAGGCCTTGGGGACCAAGCAGAAACTGGAAGAGGTGGCTCAGCCGGAAAAGGCAATCCAACACTTACGGATGATGGTGGGGACACAGGATCAGTCCTGCAGAAAACTGGGAAAGGGGAAGGTGTGGACCGCAATGGTAGGGCTGGAAGGGTGGATGGAAGTTCAGGTTTGCCTCTTGGTGTGCTGGGAGGTAGCAACCAGAGCTGAACGCGGTCTCTGCAGCTTGACTGTGCACCAAAGCTGAGGGGCAAACACCACAAGATAGGGAGGATGTGCAGGCTCCTACTGAAAGCTGCAAGGCTTTCCCCAGCATCTCCCCAGTCTGTCAGTTAGCTGAGAGATGGCGTGGGGTGCCCAGCCCCTCCCCAAAGGAGAAGTGCATTCGGGTGGGTTTTCACAGCCAGCGTCACTCAACCAGGTGCAGCTATGTATCCTTGCTGGGAGGAACCCCCTCAGTGGAGTCATCATCCCTGGAAGCGTTCACAAAACGGGTATACATGGCACTTCAGGACATGGTTTAGTCTAGTCTACCCTTGATTGGTTTAGTGTGGACTTGGTAATGTTAGGTTAATGGTTGGACTGGATGATCTTAAAGGTCTTTTCCAATCTAAATGATTCTATGATTCTATGATTCTATGATCACTGTT